CAGCAAACTATGATAAAAGTTGGTTCATAAATACAGGGTGTGTTGTAGATACTTTTTTTTTACAAATTGCCTCCCACATTATCAGGGATTACACGTGGATTTTTTGTTTTTATATTCCAAAATTAATATGTCACTTGCTGCTGTGTCTGAGGTGTCTCCCACAAGAGTGAACAATGTTGGGTGTTGTACTACCCACGTTCATGCAACATCCACGAAAATCAGTAAGTCAGATTATCAGATAAGAACGAGGCAGTAACTTTTGATCACTAGTTCACCAACAGTGTATCAGAAGACGGGCTGAGCTTCATCAACACGGGACTAAACAAGACGACCCTCACCTTAGGATGAAACAGTAACCTCATCTTCAAGACGCTGGGTGTTTATTCACAAGAAAGATGTAGAAAAGTTTCGTTTGTTTTTCCTTTGTTCGCACTATTAATTAGCTATAGAGTCCTGAATGTGTAATATATTGAGCGTCAGCGATGGTTGTGATAAGTTGCTACAGTATTATACACTCGAGTTTATCCACAGTAAGGTGCTGGTGGGGAGCTGGAACACCTTCGTCAGGTAAGACTTGATTGTAAGGGAGTGCAGTCGGCCAGCTCAGACCTCCAGCAGTGACAGTCCGTTAGCACTGGTCCAGCCAACCCAGCAACTAACGCGAGAATAAAAGTGAAAACGTCGGCTATGTCTTATATGCTTGGTGTTACACATCGCCACCACCATCCCCTCTCTCTTTCCCCCTTCCCTCCACCCTAAAACTACTAGCTCCTCCTCCCTCTCCCCCTCAACACCTAAAATCCTTCAAATCTCACACACACACACACACACACACACACACACTGCCACTCTGATAGCCTTGCCTTCTTTTGATTCGATTTTCCCCCGCCTCTTACAGTTAAGGAAGTTGCTGCATATACGGTGCCACAGGACACCCGGGCAATATAATTGTCGTTCCCACAACAATCACTGGTATTCACGGGTCCCAGTGAGCGGGTCAGATATTAACCTACATAGCCGTGTGTGTCATGACCTTGAGAGTACGTACAGACTTCCGAACTGCGCGTGACAGGAAGAAATAGTTCGACCAACGACTCAACAGATTAGCTAAAATTGCGGTATTTCGAGACGTCATGTGGAGAAGTATGATATAGTGACGGGAAATACTTATGTGAGCTCAGGTTAAGTATTTATTCCTGTCACTCTCTGACCCAGAAGGTTAGAGGTGTTGATGAAGGAATGAATAAGAGTTTCACTTACTAACACGTAATAAAAATGTTTTAAATCAAAATAACAAATATGGATGATCGTGAAAGTGGGTCCCATAGGCATGGCTGCTCGTTAGGAACAATGTGGCTGTATACTAAGCCTTCGGTACACAAGAAGGCACCATGGCAGCTACTGTTGTCGACCGCATTCACTTTCCTAAGGTCAATAACGGTGTAGTAAACCTTTTTAAAGTGCATTTACTGTCATTTCTACCCTGGAACTTATTCCTTATTTTATTTAATTATACTTTTATACTTATATACTGGAAGTGGCTTCATTCACTCCCGTAAATTATTGAAATTTTTAATTCATTAAAACCTTACAATAGAAGTAATGAAAAATTTTCAAGTTGTTTGCCCGAAAAAACAACGACGCTTTCTAAAAAAAAAAACCCCACCCCTCGGAAAAAAAGAAAACCTTGATTATCTGAAATACTGAACCCTCAACACGTCCAGTACTAACCAGTAAGACCCTGCCATAATTTACGCACTCACACTAATACTGAAATGAATCCATCCCGTCTGTGGCGAGTTACCGAGTGGATACGAAATATATCACGGACGGACGGACGGACGGATGGACGGGAAAAACGTAACGTTCCTTGAAAACTGTTGTGGGATGCCAGGGACTCCAGACTTAGCTGATGAATAAAACGATAATTCAATTTATATGATAACTTGAACGTACCTGAGATATGGTGTGTTGATGTCCCTCGAAGAGCTGTTGAAACTCACACTTACCTGGAAAAGGAAAAGGAAAAATCCAGTTGAAATAACCTGCCATGTTTCACACACACACACACCTATATGATCATTCACACGTAACTTTACGGAACAACTAAAGCAGAACCAATGCCAAATAGAGGACTAATAGAACTTGTTCAATATGTCAAGAACACAACAGTAGTATTATTAGCAGTTACCTTGTGCTGGTGGTCGCGGAAGCCCTGGCGCCGTAGAGGGTCACCTCCTGGCACCGTCTTGACACTTTTGTGACACCTCAGGGCCCTTGACGACACCTTGTTGTATTCCATGGCACACTTTACACCTTGCGATAGTTCAAGACACTTTGCAACATTTTACGACATTAATGACACTTTACGACACATTGTGAGACTTTAAAACATTTCTGGCACTTTATTGACATTTTACGACACTTTACGAGACTTCACAGCACCTTACGACACTTTTCGACACGGCATGACACTATTGTATGTTGCTTGGACACTTTATAATTATTCGAGACTTCATGACGCTTTTTCACTTCATGACAATATCAAACTATATGGCTTTTTACGACACTTTAGAACACTGACACTTTAGGACAATTTAGACACTTTGACACCTTAGGTCACTTCCTTGCACTTTTTCATTATGCACTACATATTACAACATTATACGACACATTAAATTTAATGGCACTTTATCAGACCTACTGACACTTTACAAAAGTTTTCAATATTACATGAATCATTGACACTGACACCTTATGCCACTTTACGACACCTTATACCACTCTTATGACACGTATGGACGTTTTTGGCGCCGACAATTACTTTATGACACTTATAAGTCTTAATAACACAAACACTTCACGTCACTTATAAAACATCATAACACAAACACTTTATAACACTTATAAACACTTAACGTTAAAGGTGTAGAAGAGAGTGACCACCAGAGAGAATTGCCCGAATTGGTTTAATTTTTTTTCTACACATTAACATCATGATATTAAACACAAAAATGGAAACGACACTGCATAGAGCCTAATAGAACCTGACCTAACAAACCCATAGGTTGGGTATGTTAGGTCACCCTCTTCTACACCTTTACCCACTTTACTTAGGAACACGTTATGATATATGTGATCACTTTCTGATACGTAAGAAAATTTTACGTCACTTAAAATCACTTTTTGAAACGTAACACCACTTTAAGACAATTTTAACTACTTTACGACACTTATAAACACATCGTGACACTTGCAAACACATCGTGACACTTGCAAACACTCCATGACACTTACAAACACTTTATTACACACTGACAAACACTTGATACTTTTCCGTTCTAGTCACTTTCACAGTCTCTTTACCTCACCGGCTGTTTGTTTTCTACTTTACGGCACTTATAAAACACTTTAAGACACTTACAAACACTTTACTACACTTGACGATACTATTCAGAACTCGTTTGTTTGTCTATAAGTCATCGTGGACGTCCTTACCGGCACTAAAGCAGAGGCAGCACTGCGAGACCGTCACCTTTGTTGACATTCTCATAAATCCGAAACTTCGAAACGTTAAAGATTTAAGACTTGAGAGAATCGGTCAAACCTCGTCCCAGTACGATAACAGACTGAGTTTGGTTTTGTTTTACTCATTCGGTTCTCCCCATCGGTAGCTTTAGAGATCTTTGTTTTTATCTGTTCTAATTATAATGTACAAGATAATGTATTACACAAGATTATAATGACTCGGTTTTTTGGGATGGTTGAGTCTAATGTATCGAAAAGTTGTTCCTGAATCATGGAAACACTTACGTCAGCAATGTCTCAAAGTGATGTCATTCAACTGTTGACAAAAAGTATCCAGAATTGTTTATATTGTTTATCCCGTTTTATTTGCTTAGTGAAAACAACCCAACGGGAAACAAATGGGAATAAGATAAAACTATTAAACATAACAAATAAAGATAGAACACATTTAAAATTATTTACTTATTCCAAAAATCAACGCTTTCGAAGACGTGTAGTATATGTGTATTGCCTCAGGACGAACAACACAGACCACGACTAAACCAAAGCTACCAACAGCTCCACACATCTGTCTGCGAGGTTTAATATTTTAGACAGGCTACAAACAAACTAAAGAAAGTCAATCGCCTTAAACTTAATTCACGATTAGTGTTCAAAGATAAGATGTTAGACGTTTCTTAGATTACCAGGGATCCACCTAGCGAAGTTGCCAGTTGGGAATTTCGAGGGAGTCAGTGTGTTACCTTTAGTTACTTAAGTAATTAATTTCCTGAGAACCTACTCTCTCTCTCTCTCTCTCTCTCTCTCTCTCAGTTGAACGTAATGACTAATAATAACAAGTGATAAACAACTTGCCACATCCCTCTCACTACCCAAGCTGTTGCTCTGCTTACTCATCCTGCTGCTGCTACGACTGCTGTTATTACTGCTGCTACGACTGCTATTACTACTGCTGCTACGACTGCTATTACTACTGCTGCTACGACTGCTGTTATTACTGCTGCTACGACTGCTATTACTACTGCTGCTACGACTGCTATTACTACTGCTGCTACGACTGCTGTTATTACTGCTGCTACGACTGCTATTACTACTGCTACGACTGCTGTTACTACTGCTCTACGACTGCTATTACTACTGCTGCTACGTCTGCTGTTATTACTGCTGTTACGACTGCTATTACTACTGCTGCTACGACTGCTGTTATTACTGCTGTTACGACTGCTATTACTACTGCTGCTACGACTGCTGTTATTACTGCTCTTCGACTGCTATTACTACTGCTGCTACACTGCTGTTATTACTGCTGTTACGACTGCTATTACTACTGCTGCTACGACTGCTGTATACTGCTTACGACTGCTGTTACTACTGCGACTACTGTTATTACTGCTGCTACGACTGCTATTACTACTGCTGCTACGACTGCTGTTATTACTGCTGTTACGACTGCTATTACTACTGCTGCTACAACTGCTGTTATTACTGCTGTTACGACTGCTATTACTACTGCTGCTACGACTGCTGTTACTACTGCTGCTACGACTGCTGTTATTACTGCTGCTACGACTGCTGTTATTACTGCTGTTACGACTGCTATTACTACTGCTGCTACGACTGCTGTTATTACTGCTCTGTTACGACTGCTATTACTACTGCTGCTACAACTGCTGTCATTACTGCTGTTACGACTGCTGTTATTACTGCTGCTACGACTGCTGTTATTGACTGCTACGACTGCTGTTATTACTGCTGCTACGACTGCTGTTATTACTGCTGCTACGACTGCTGTTATTACTGCTGCTACGACTGCTGTTATTACTGCTACGACTGCTGTTACTACTGCTGCTACGACTGCTGTTACTACTGCTGTTACGACTGCTGTTATTACTGCTGTTACGACTGCTATTACTACTGCTACGACTGCTATTACTACTGCTGCTACGACTGCTGTTTTACTGCTACGACTGCTGTTTACTGCTGCTACGACTGCTGTTATTACTGCTGCTACGACTGCTATTACTACTGCTGCTACGACTGCTGTTACTACTGCTGCTACGACTGCTGTTATTACTGCTGTTACGACTGCTATTACTACTGCTGCTACAACTGCTGTTATTAC